CCTGAGAATGATCCTTCAGGTACGCGGATATTTTTGCCATCTCTGCAAAATACGATACTTTCTGTCTCCAATCATCCATAGTTGGTAACATCTTTTTTTTCCAATTTTGAGCAATTAAGATCCTTGCTGCTGTTATACAATACAACATCAATTTCATTTCTTTTTGGTCCAAATTGTCCATAATACCCAATAAAAATAATTGCGGTATAAATTTTATCTTTTTCTTAAAAATCTGTTGAATATTCCACCAAATCTTAATCCAAAAGGCTTTAACATCCCTACATGTCCACCAAATATGATAATAAGTAGCATCCATACTGCCACATCTCCAACATTTTGGTTGCAAATTCGGGTACATGCAAGACAATTTTTGAGGATCCAAATGCCATCTATAAAACATTTTATAAAAATTTTCCCTTAGATTCTGTGCTTGGGTGAACTTGACATTTCTTACCCAAATTATTTCCCAAGTTTCTAACTTTATTGGTTCTTGAATATTTTGAGCCCATTTAATCATACAATCTTTAACCAATTCTGTTTCCGAATCAAGTTCTCTTAAACCCCAAACAGTTTGGGGTTTAAAACAGGTTCTTTCAATTCTGACTTAATGAGTCTTTCCTCAAAACAGCCCCCTTCCCACTTTCAGGACCACCCCCTAACCCCACAGGAGGCCTCGCAGTATAATCTTTTCCTGCGATTTGTTATTATTTCCCCATCTAGATAACTTCTCCCCACTGGGTCGACCCTTTCCCCTCTGGGCTCCTTGACCCCTCCCCTTGTATCAGCTGGGTGAGATCGGGGTCCATTGGGAAATCCCCAACACACACACACAATTGCCAGCAGCCTCCCCCTTCTCTCTCTCCCTCTCCCTCTTTCTCCCTCTTCCATTGGAATCATGTCTCTCTGTCCCCTTTGAGGGATAACATCTTCTCCAAATTAATCGGTCAGAAATTGCAAAAGCCCTGAGCCCCCTTTTGCCTTGAGTCTGGCTCTCCTCTTCTTGAAACTGGGGTCATGTCCCTTGGAAAGAGTCCTGGAGCAGCCTCAGATTCAAGGGACCACAAGGAAACCACAAAAGTAGGGAGAAACTTCTGTGTTGTTGTTGTTGTCTTGAAAGGGAACTTAAAAGAGCAGCTCCACTTTCCCTCCCCTGAAGGAAACAATCCAAGATCACCCAGAGTTCAAAGCAGCCAGAGAGGAATTTCCTTGGACCCTCAATTTGCTCCCGGAGGTTTTTCAGGCTGAGTCCCTGGGAAGGACTCAAAATCAGGAGTCCTTGTGGTTGAGGATTTTCCACATTTGGAGCATTTCCTAAAACTCTTGGAGACGCTGCAGGTATGGAGTGGGAAGTAGTGGGAGATTTTCCTGCCCCTCCACATTTCCCATCCATCTTCCAGGCTCTGGAGGGGCTCAGAGTTAATTCCAGGGGTGCCGTTTCTGCAGAGCCCCCAGAGGTGACCATGAGCAGCAAGACGGAGGTGGAGGATGGGATGGAGACGCATGTCTGCCGCCTGCATGGCTTCTACCCCAGGGAGATCGATGCCTCCTGGACGAGGGACGGGGAGGTCTGGCTGCAGGACACCCTCCGTGGCTCTGTGGCCCCCAACGCGGATGGGACCTTCCACGCCTGGCTCAGCATCCGGATTGATCCCAAAGAGAGGGGCCGCTATCGGTGCCACGTGGAGCATGATGGCCTGCAGGAGCCTCTGGACGTGGCCCTGGAGGGTGAGAGGCTGCAGGGAGGGAAAGGCTGGGCTCTTTGACAGGCTGGAGGGTTGTGGGAGGGAAATCACACCCCAGCTGTGTCCAGATGTGAGCATACCTGACCTTTAAGCCCTTGGTTTTTCCAGTGTTTGAGGTTGGTGAAGCTGCAGGGACCAGACAATAGAACTGGCTTCAGGGGATGTAAAGGAAACTACAGAATCCCATCACAAGAGTTGGCAGATCCTGATGAAATCCTCTTAGATCCTCTCTTAGCCTCTGTCCCTCCCCTCTTTCTTGGTCAGCAAGGCGCCTTCATGCTTCCCTCAGAGGGACATGAAGAGGAGCCCATGGAGTTTTTAATTTGGGGAATTTCCAGCTTGGCTGCTTTAGGTCTCTCCCCTAATTGGGATGATTGTTTGGGGAATCTCCTTCAATTATCTGCTCTTCCTCCCAATTCAGAACTAAATCTGGGGCTTATCATCGGCTGTGTTGTGGCTGGCCTTGTCTTGGTGTGTGCAATTGTTGGGATCTTGGCTTTTATTTACATTCTCAGTAAGTATTCTTTTTTGGGTTCTGGGGGAAGATAGGAACATCTCTCCCAAGTCTCTCCCTTTGGAGAGCTTCTTCCGGGCTTCCTTCTGTCCTGTTTTCCCAGCCTTCTTGGGGAGCCTCTGGGACTCAGCCTCTTGCTGGGACTCCATTCTCGATTCAGCTGAGTCTGAGGTTGGGACAGTCCCGTCTTCTTCTGAGCTGGGAAGAGGCATCCCAGTTCCATCCCTTTCAAAGTCTTTGGTCAAAGAGCAGCAGAAAAGGATTTCCATGAAAATCTTCCTCCCATCCCAGCTGTTGCTGCTGCTTCCCCCAATTCCCCTCCATCCCTCTCAGAGGTAGCAGGTCTCCCTTGGGGCAGATCAGGAGATATTTTGTATTTTGAAGATCTTTCTGTCTTTGTTGAGGGGTCAAAGGGACTGTGAAATATCCCCTGGGGTTCTTCCTCCTAGAGAGGGAGAGATTGGATGATCTCTGGTGGATTCTTTTGAGCTTTCACTGATTTTTATCCTTGCAGAGAGACATCAAGATGACCACAATGCAACACCGAGTGAATTGTCCTCTTTACAAGTAATCGCCAACTTAGAGCAGGGACCAGAGGCACCGTCACTTGAGAGGTTTGTGTCTGTGTGTCTGTGTGCTATCTTCCTCTTCATCGTAAAAATCTGGCTGGGGAAGATGGGCCCCCTATTTATTACAGCCAGGCTGTTCTTGGAAGTGGGGTCCTCAAAGAGAAACATTTTGCACAAGGAACCTTCCAGAAGATAAGAAGATCCTGCTGATGGAAGGTCCCTCTGACTGAGGACATGCTCTGTTTCCCAAGTGGGTGGAAAGGAAAGCCTTGGCCAAATGAGAGTCAGAAGCTCCTTAAAATTAGGGATCAAAAGGGGGCATTTTGAGAGAAAAGGAGCTTTGGGGGATGCCAGCTGGATCTCCTCTTGGTCTCCCATCACAAGGCTCTCTAAGTACGAACTGACTGGAAAAAGAAACTTTGGATCCATCTGTATCTTTTTAGGTCAGCTCTGCCTTCTGACTTTGTGTGATACACATATAAATTTGAAGAATTCTTTCCTACGCCTTTAAGCCAAAGCGGTTTGGTTCAAACTCTCTCCATGTATTTCTGTGTCTTTGATTGTGTGTGAGAGAGAGAGAAAGGGAGGGAGGGAGATGGAGTCAGAAAGAGCTGAGTTTTTCCATCTGTAAGCCAAGAGAGCAACTTGCTCACCCGCTTTTCTTTCCGTCTTTTCCAGGAAGTGAGGAAGGATCCAGCAGTTCCAGCCAGGGTAAGTCGGAGGGAACTGCTGCTGCATGAGCCATTCTGTCCCTTTTCAAGACTTTGGGCGGATTGTGGGTGGGACGAAAAGAGGGAAAGCCCCCCCTCTTTTTTAAAAGGCCCTCCTAATAACTCCTCCCCGTGTTCCCTCTGTGTCCAGTTGTGGTGAAATAATTAGAATAATTAGAGACACTTTCATTTAGTGGTGAGGGCACCAAGTGAGACTAACTGGGAGATCGTAAGTTCTTTTCTTTTTTAAAGAAAATTTTATTGATTTTCTAATTTTACAGTTAAATATTTGAAAAGCACGTGGCAGCTGAGTTGGTCAATAATTCAATAACATACAAATACCTTTAGTACAGATCTCGAACTATTACATTAAATATTTCCTCTCTTTTCCCTTTGGTATTTAATGTCTCATATTTAAATTAATGCAATTCTTGTTATACCGATTAAATAAAAAAACTTTTCCCCTCCTTTTTGCAGTACCAGTGGACACTCCCAGCATCAAGAGGGAGGAGAGAAGAGGGGATCAACTTTCTTCTGAATTAGGACCGACTCTCAGGTGGAGCCCTTCAAACCCTTCCAGCATGTTGGAACCAGGATGTATTTTGGGCCTTGCTCTTCAGGTGCCTCATTTCATGCAGTCGCCCAAGAATGCGGAGACCCTTGATTGATGGGAAAGAAGTCCCCATATTACGGCGGATGGTTTCTGAGCAAAGGAGTGAAAGGAGCGAACGTGAACAGTGAAATTGAAAAGGGAGGGGTCTTACACCCAAACTTCTTTTGGGCTTCCCAGATGCCTTCAAGAGCTGGCCATCTTTGAGAGCCTATAAATGAGACTATTTAAAGCAGCCACATCCATCCCGGCCCCCGTGGGCCACATGCAGCCTTGGATAGCTAGTAAAGCGGTCCTGCAGAAGTTTTAATGCTATAATAAAAATATAAAGGAAGCTATTTATATACATTAACTATATTATAGATTTTATATGTGGCCCAAGATAATTTCTCCTCACTCCATGCAGCCCAGGCAAGCCGAAAGGTCGGACACGGCTGCTTTAAAGCATTTTGTGAGAATTCAATTAGTATTTGAGTGTCTTTCACTGATTCGAAAGTTTTAGAACTGTATTTATTTTTCAGACACCTAAACAACTTTAGGCAGCTCACAAAAATAGTCAAACTACGAAGAACACAAAAACCGCATGACAAAAACTAAAAAATTGGGCCCTCCATCTTCCTTTTAGGAGCCCTGACATCCATCTGCAGGATGTTGGAAGGCGCTAAGCATGCAGATTCAGTGTCTATCGCATCAAGCATTGTTGCGCTCCCAGGTCCCTCCTCAGCCAGCAACGATCCTCCTTAGCCAAGAGGTGGGAAAGTTCCCCCCCTCCAGTCATCAACCCCACATCTTCCCTACTGGAACATGACATTGACCACCTTTCCTGAAGCCAGGACATGGATACAAAGCCAGGTTTTCATGCCCTTCTGGAAGGCTAAGAGGAGGGGGATCTGCTTGAGGGTCTTCTGAAATGTAGGACCAGCCATAGGAAAGGGACACTTCCAAAAGTTGCTGCCAGGGAGACGTTTTTCACTGAGGTAGTTCTTCTCAGGTATAGACAACTTGGAGTCCTCCAGATACTTTAGACTTCAACTCCCATCATGTCTTGCTGCCAGGCAGTTCTCTGGACACTATTGGCCTACTCTGGTTGCAAATAAAGCAACTCAGAACGAAGTGAATTTGGTAATCCAGGAACGAGTACCTTCCTTTCGGAGAAATTGGGCAAGGGGAAATCGTTGTCTTTTTTCCCCCAGAGAAAACAAGAAGTTACAATGGCCTTTTGATAGGTTTGGAGCTGTAGGGGAAGGAGTGGCAGAACCTGAGGGGGGAATTAAAGGAGGGATCAGCCTAGAATCCCTTTGTAGCCACAAGCAAGCTAAGTCCAGCCCTCCTTCAGTTCTGTTGACCTTTTTTAAACGCCTACAAGGTGCTAACCGTTAGCTGAGAAGATTCCTGCGCATAGGTGTGAGTAACAATAAATCGGTTTAATTGGACCCTCATGTGTGGACCTGATCTTTCAGGCCTTATAGGAGCCTTGCTAAATGAACACATTGTCCTCCTGCCCTTGACTTCCCTTTGAAGATGGGTACCCAGAAGCATCTGGGTTTCCAAGTCTCCTGGGTTATCTTGTCTGTCACGGTGGGCTCAGTTCTTGAAGAGGAGACCGAGAACGAGCAGGAGCTCCAAAATCATCGACAGACAATGGACGGAAGGCCCTGGATAGGAAAGACCAGGAAAATAATGACAATGAATCAGGACCGTCCTCCTCGCAGCGATCTTGACAAACTCTACTTACCAAGGAAAACAGCTGGGCGTGGAAGGTTGTAAGCACATCAGATGGTTGAAGAAGACAAAAGGCCGTTGGGAGAATACCGGCACTCCTCAACTTATGACTCCAGTTGAGCCCAAAATCTCCATTGCTATCCAAGACGGTTGTTAAATGAGATTTTCCCAGTTTATGACTTTTCTTACCAGGATGCTTAAGTGAATCAGTGCAGGTATTGTTAGTAACACCGTTGTTAAGCGGATCTGGTTTCCCCATTGACTTGTCAGAAGGTCGCAAAAGGTGATCACGTGATCCAGGGACACGGCGCCCGTTATAGATACATGCCAGTTGCCAAGCAAAAGTCGTTTAGTGTGAACAATAGTTCTACATGATTTTTTTTAGTGCCGTTGTAACCTCAAGTGGTCACTAAATGAATGGTTGTAAGTCGAGGACTATATGTATCTGAGGGACAGTGAAGGAGATGCACTGGAGCCAGGATACCAGGAAGGCTTACTGACGACTGGGGAGACCAAAGTGGCCTTCAAGAAAGACCAAATGAAGAACAGAAGACAAAGTATGATATGGAAAGTACATTTAAAAAAAAAATAGGCAAAGCAGATAATAACAAGACCTGGCAATGGCTAAGAGAAGGCAAGTTGAAGAAAGGAGCAGAGAAGCTAATTCTGGCTGCACAAGACCAAGCCTGAAGGACAAACACATACAAAGCCAGACCTGAGAAGACAGCAACAGACAACAAATGCCACCTCTGCAAAGAAGCTGAGGAAACGGTGAACCACCTGGTTAGCTGCTGCAAGAAGATCACACAGATTGACTACAAACAAAGGCACGACAAAGTGGCAACAATGGTGCCTGAGAGGATCTGCAAGAAGTGCCATTTTCCTTCAAGCAAGAACAGGTGGCACCATAAAAGAGAGGAAATCATAGAAAATGAAGAAGCTAAATTGCTCTGGGAGTTTAGAATCCCAACAGACCGGCCTCTGCCACATAACACACACCAGACGTAACAATTGTCGATAGGAAAGAGGAAAAAAGTCTGGATAGTGGACATGGTAGTATCTGGAAGCAGCAGAATAGCAGAGAAAGAACTGGAGGAGATTACAAAATACAAAGACATGCAAACAGAAATAGAATGACTGCGGCAAAAGAAAGCAAAGGTAGCACCCATAGCCATATGCACCTTGGGCTCAATCCCAAAATAACTGGAGCACTGCTTGAACCCCGTCGGCATTGACAAATTCACCATCAGTCAATTGCGAAAGGCAGCTTTGCTCGGAACAGCTAATATCCTACAATGATACCTTTAAACACCATCAAACATCCATACCGACCTATTCCTGGTCCTTGGGAAGAACTCAATAGGTGGATAAAAATGCCAAATCCAGTCTGAACATCTGGCTGGTTGTGCGAGGAACAAATAATAACATAAAGAACAAAAAAAAATAATTAAAAATACGAAATAAATTAAAAGCAAAAGCAAAACACTCAAAAGGCAATTTAGATGGACCACTGGGTCTTTTTCTGCCATCAGTTTTGTATGTTTCTGTGTAAACATGCTCAGCGGGCGCCTTGCTCAGATTGGATGGTGTCCATGTGTTTCGCTGTCCGTGCGTGTCCATGCAGTGGTTTGTGTGTGAATCCCCATTTGCACAAGATGCTGCACCTTAAAAAACCAGCCAGCCAGTTAAAACAGACGAGATTGTGCCTGCTGTGAACCCCAGACAGAAGAGGGAGGATCTGAAGGTGAGGCTCATCCTGCAGGAGGCCAATTTCCAGAGACTCAAAACCAACTGGAAAGTTCCTCTGACGGCCTCGGCCTTCTTTGTCTTCATAAATACAGGCCCATGAAAGGGAGGCAGAAGATCCTTCTTCCCCACTGGAGCAGCTTAATTTCCACTCTGTACATGCTCAGGGGAAATCTTCTGACTACAGAAGAGAGCAGGACATCGTTCAAGCTGTGAAAAAAATTAATTGCATCTTACTCATACAGGTAGTCCTCAACTTACAATCACAATTGAGCCTAAAATTTATGTTGTTAAATGAGAATTTGTTCAGTGAGTTTTGCCCCATTTAATGACATTTCTTGCCACAGTTGTTAAGAGAATCACTGAAGCTGATAAGTTGGTAATCTGGTTGTTAAGTGAATCTGGCTTCCCCAATGACTTTGCTTGTCAGAAGGTCGCAAAAGATGATCACATGACCCTGGGACGCTGCAGCGGTTGTAAGTATGAACCGGTTGCCAAAATCTGAATTTTGGTCACATGACCCTGGGGATGCTGCAACGGTCATGTGAAAAATGGTCGTCACTTCTTTCAGTGCCATTGTAACTTTGAACAGTCACTAAATGAACTGTTGTAAGTACCTATACTTTACTCATCATGGAAAGCTTAAGAGCAGAAGCTTTGATTCATTAATGATCATCATAATAACAACAATCATAACCCGAATAATTAGAGAATTATTTAGTTCCAGGATTCCCCAGAAGAAGCGCCAAAGGAGAGAGCAGCCATCTTAGTTTATTGCGGAAAGAACTGAAGCGTTTGAAGCTTCCTAGAGATTCGTTGTCTTCACCGGAAAATAAAAGGAAATGGGGAATTTATGTACTATATTTCAGGCCTCTGATCTTTTCCCCTAGAAAGACGGGTCTTCCCCTTGAAGAGGCAACAGAAGCGTTTTCATCCAGAGGGAAGATCACTTGGGATTTCTGACCTAGAACATAGAACTTTGAATCACTGGGCTGGAAGGGACCTCAAGAGATCTTCTAGTCCACCCCTCAGCTCAAGGCAAGAGACCTTGTATCATCCTGGTCAAACGGTGGTCCGGTCTATTTTTCTAAATCCCCACTGATGGGAGCACTCACAACTCCAGGAGGAAAACTATCCTATTGATTTATTGCTCTCACTGTCAGACAATTTCTCCTTCCTTCTAGGTTGGATCTCTCTTTCACAAGATTCCGCCCCTTCTTCCTTCTCCTGCCCTCTGGGGCTTTGGGGAATAAATCCATCCTCTCTTCTCTGTGACAGCCCCTCAAGGACTGGAAGACAGTCATTATGTTCCCCCCCTAAGCCTTCTCTTCCATAGGCTGGACACGCTTGGCTCTCTCAACCCTTCATCCAAGTGTTATGTGCTCCTGGCTACTTTCCTTCCTGACCAGAGGCCAGCTCGCCTGACCAATAACCAGCCAAGACACAGTGAAGACTTTTTGTTTCGTTTATTGCAATAAGTGGGGAGAGAAGCTATCAAAGTTTGGTTCTCTCCAAAGTTTTAACCCAAAATATTTCCTTCTTTATACATCCCTTGTCCCGGCCACCACATCCCTCCTCTTTCCCCATTGGCTGAGGTACTACGAGGTTACACTCTTTCCGACCGCTTCCTACATATTTCCTGCTACATACTAAATCATACATCACATGTACATTAAAATTAGGAGATAATTTATGCAAGGTGTGTCAGTTAATATTAATCAATTAATAGCGCATGCTCAGTTGCCTGAGTTCTGGCCCCCTTTTTTATTCTTAGAAAAATAGGTTCTTTCCTGTTTTGCTAGTTATCTTCTATTACAGATGTTTTCTTCTTCCTTTTCTACTCTTAAAACCCAGCTATTTTTGCCTACATATTTCCTTTACATCCTGTCTTTATGTTAACCTTTCCTCTTTCCCATCATAGCTTCTCTACTCAGTATATTTCCACTGCAGCAAATTCAATTTTAAATTTCTCTTTCAATATTAAATTTTGAAGACCTTTCTTTTATTTCTATCACTAGGATTTATTCTCCAGGCCCTTAGTCTCCTTTGTTCCTCTTCTTTGCACACTTTCTAGCTAGGGCCTCAGTGCCATGTTTCTTTTCCCTTTTTTATCCCGGCGACCAGAATTGTGCCCAGTCTTCCAAGTGTGTCTTCACTACTGCAGGATAAAGCGGTGCTCTCGCTTCTCCTGATCTTGATGTTGTCCCTCTGTTGATGCAGCCCAGGACCGCACTGGCTTTCTTGGCAGATCCACCTGATCCCCCACTGCGAGGGGGTCCCCGGGGTCTCCCCTCCCCCTCCCCTGCGCCCCTCCCCCTCCCCCTTCCCCCGGCCCAGAGAACCCTCCGGCTGTTCCCAGCCTCGCATTTCCTGATGAGAGAACTTTCGCTTTCCTTTTTCCTCTTCAACGGCCGGTGGCGCCTGAAAGTCTGCCTAGCAACAATGACGACACGGGGATACTTTTTTTCTACTGGTTGGGGTTGGCCAATCAGCAGCATTTTGCCCTGGGTTGTTCCGTTGTTGATCGCCCGGAGCGCGTCTTTCCCTGCCTGCGACTTCCGAAGGGCGGAGCCCAAATGGAGGATCGCGGCCAGGATGGCTCTGCGCTCCTTCTCCCTCCTGGCGTTGGTGGTTGCTGTGCGGGAGAGCTGCTTCGGTGAGTCCCTTCGGGGTCCTCGGGGGGTTCCGGCCCCTTTTTTCTGCTGTTGGGGATCCACCCAAGGGATCTCTCTCTGTCTCTCTCCTCCCAAAAGCTTATTCCCAGGAAGAGAATCCAGACTCGGTCCTCTTTCTAGTCCGCTCCCCCTCTGGCCGCTCTCAGAAGGGACCTCAAAGCGTGGATGGGACTTTGTTGCCTCTCCCCCTCCCCCCCCCAGGAGAGCCCCTCTGGGAACGGGACAAGGGCGGCCCCTCCAGAGGTCAGTCAAGTCTACCTGGGCGCCCCCGAGCGCCGTTCTTTCCCTCCCCCAAAGTGGAGGTTGTGGGAAAGCGGCGTTTGCAGGGACCGGGTCAGTTCCCAAACTTCCTGGCTGCCTTCGCACAACCCCTCCGCCTGGCTCCTCTTTCCTGCCTTTGGCGGGGCTCGGGGGCTCTTTGGGGCTTCTGGTGCTGGGAGGAGCCGGCTCGTTTCTCGACTTGCTTCCGTGTATTGGCAGACAAGGAGGCTGGAGCACTGGAGCCCTCGGGTTAAGGCTGTCCTGGGAATGCAGCAGGAGAAGAGTCTGGAGAGAAGAGCTCCTTTAATTGACTTCCCAAAGATCCCTCCTGATTGATTGATTGTCACTTTCCCCTGGATCCCCACCCCCCACCCCGTCCTAAACCCCAATATCCCCAGAGCTTCTTTCTAGGACAGGCAGGAATTTTTCCACCCCACATCCTCCTCCTTCCATTTCAGGAGCCCCCAGCACGGGAGAGTTCGCAGAATCAGAAATATTTAAAGTTTACTCTTATTCCTTAGTCATCAGATCGGAGGTCTTGGGGTGTCCCTAGTTGTTCCTCGGAGAAACTCTCAATGCAGCAGCTTTTCCAAAGGCATTTCCAAAACTGTCAGGATCTGAAGGATCAGAGAGGCTGGGCTGGAGGCAGGAGGAGAGAAGCCCCTCTGGATGGAGAGCCTGAAATGAAGGGCTTGCTTGGACACAGACTGGCCCAGACTGACCAGCCCTTCCTGACCTGAGGAGGATTCAGGATTGTGAGGACGCCCAACCTGCGTTACATTCACACGTTTCTCCTCTCAGGCAGACTTCAGACTCCCTCACTGCTCAGCCCACGAGGGCTCACTTAACAAATGTCTCACTTAGCAACAAAAAATGTGGGCTAGATTATGGTTGTAAGTCAAGGACTGCCTGTATTTATTTCTCTGGGGGGCTTTGGAGGTCCTGCCCTTTTCCATGCAGACCCAGGTTCTGCCCAAATAAGTCCCGTGAAGGATCCTGAAAATGATCTTTCAACTCTTTGGTGCCCTGGAAGAATTTCTGACCTGAAGAGCTTTCAGAATGGAGACCCAGAAGGGGCCTTGGGGATTTTCTTTTTAAATGTTTTTTTTATTTATTCTTTTTTCACTATGCAACAAAAATAAAAATAAAAATGAAAAAATACATTTTTCCCCTTTAACAGAATTGTGTTATACATCTCATATATATTATTTACAATTTATTTACATCAGTAATCATGTCTTTTTTCTTTCTCTGTTCTAGCCAATTATAACATTTGTTCCATATTTCATAAAATTCTGTTGCCTCCTTGTCTTTTAAGTTTAATCATTTCCGCGCATTCTAGAATTTTGTGTATGATCATATCGTTTGTAGTTATGTTTTCACCCTTCCAACATTGGGCATATACTATGCAGGCTGCTGTTAAAATATGTATAATAATTTATTTGAGTTGTTTTTCCATTTTTATATTTATTATACCCAAAAGAAATAGTTCTGGTTTGAGTTCAATTTGCACCTTAGTTTTCATCAGCTTAATCTATTTCCCAGGAGCCTTTTATTCATTTTATTTTTAGTTTTTTTCATCCATTTACAAGTTGTTGTTGGGCAGCCTCAGAGTCTCTTCCGTGTTTGTATTTTGACAATGAAAACTAAACAGTGACTTAACAGTGATTTTTTGTTGTCACTGTTAGTCAAGTTTAGTATAGTTTTTACGGTATTTTTTTATTGAATTTTGAGGTTAGGAGAGGAATAGGGTCAATCTAGGGATTGGGGTTCAGGGTAGGAATCAGGGTTGGGGTTGGGATAGGGGTAGATACAACAATGGAGTTACCCCCATTAACATTTCCAAGCTTTAGCAAACAGACTATTGTCCGGGTACATATATTCAATAGCAGTAATTAATATAATAGTAAATAGCTGTAGTAAATAAGAAAAACAGTAATCATAAAAAATATCAGTTACTCAATACGTATTATTCATCTTATTAAGTGTCACAATCATTTCTCACTAGTTCGTTTTGCTAACCATTGGTAAAAATTATCCCATGTTTTAAGAATAGACTGAGTCTTCTTTCTCTTTGATCTCTAAGGTTAATCTGTCCGTTTCTGCACATTCTAGAATTTTCTTAATTGTAATCTCTTCAGATGGTAAATTTTCATGTTTCCAATATTGGGCAAATGCTATTCTCGCTGCTGTCAATATATGCAATATTAGCTACTCCTTCTCCTTCTCATATTTGGCTCCTAATATTCCTAACAAAAACAGTTCTGGTTTAAATTCTATCTGTATTTTAATCATCTTTTCCAACCATGTATGAATCTTAAGCCAAGTTTAGCATAGTTTTATGTCTTGTGAATTTAGTCCCTCCTCCAATCCAAGGAAGGGCTGAAAAAACTTTGATGCTGTTCAGTCAGGAGTTTGCATGATACAAACTGAAATAATGTTGTATGTTTATCTCGGATTCCCCAGAGGGGCTTTAAAGGTGACAGGACCCTCCACACGGAGGCTGAGTTTGGGGAGAGGACCCCAGCAGAGCCCCCCCACCCCACCCAATACGGGAGTTGGCAGCAGGAACTCCCAAGCAGCCTCAGTTAGGGGCAGGGGGTGGGGCCAGGGTGGAGAGGCCCCAAGGTTTCTGCCGGCTGAGGGGAATTCTGGGAATTGAAGTCCAAGTGGCTGAGTCTGAGAAACTCTCATTTAGGCCTTTAGGTGGAGAGTCTTTGAGGGAGGCCTTGATGGAAGGGGGGAAGGGCACAATTGGAGCAGGTAAAGTTTGGGGGACCTGAGCTTCCCCTCCTCTCTCACCCCACCTTCCCTGCCCTCCAACAGTTCAGGCCCTCCAAAAAGCTGCTTCTTTCCCTCTCAGTCGCTCCCTCTTTCCANCTTCTCCTCCTCCTCCTCTTCCTCTTCTTCTTCTTCTTCTTCTTCTTCTTCTTCTTCTTCTTCTTCTTCTTCTTCTTCTTCTTCTTCTTCTTCTTCTTCTTCTTCTTCTTCTTCTTCTTCTTCTTCTTCTTCTTCTTCTTCTTCTTCTTCTTCTTCTTCCTTCTTTCCCCCCAGAGCCTCAGATTGGAGCCTCCATAGGATCTGAGTCCTTGGCTGGAGCCCCCTAACTCTGCCCCTCTGGGTCCCTTCCAGGCGCCTCCTCGCACTCCCTGAAGTATTTCTACTCCTCCATCTTGGAGCCCAGTCAGGGGCTGCCCCATTTTGTCGCTGTGGGATACGTGGACGGTCAGGTCTTTGCTCACTACGACAGCAATAGCCGGAGGATGGAGCCTCGAGTCTCCTGGATCGGGAAGGTGGGGATGGAGGACCCCCAATACTGGGACAGAAACACCCAGAGAGAACGTAGCAATGAGGAGACGTCCAGAGAAAACCTGGAGATTGCGAGGACTCGCTACAATCAGAGCGAAGGCGAGTGATGGGTCAGGTGGCTCCTCCTGCCCCATAATCCCCTCCCCAGGAACCAGAGGGGGAGAAAGGGGGGTCCCTTCAAAGGGAAAGGCTGCTTCCCCACATTTAAAAACATTTTAAATATGTTTATTCTGTTTTTTAAAATCAGTATAAGCTTGTCGTTGCCTCCATAGCTGATGTTTTCTGCCAATTGCAGTAATAAAAACATTTTTTTAAGTTATGCCTCTATCTCCCTGTATATTGATAGGATGTGGATATGGATATAAACTGAGTTAAAGGAGACTGAAATCTCCTCTCCCCCCCCCCATGAAAGTTGGAGGGTCCTGGCCTTGGTGGACCCCCTGCTGTGGGGGAGGAGGGGATCCCAGATCTCTCCCCTCCCGGAAAAGAAGCAGGTGGATCCTGGGGGAAGGAGGTCCCTGTTTTTCTGTCTGTTTCCACCCCAGAGAAATCAGGGATCAACTGCAGATCCATCTGGGCTGAGTAGATCCCTCTCTTTCACCTCTTTTTGGAGGGATGAGTGGAGGAACCCTTGAACTATTTTTCAGGCCTCGGGGAACCCCTGAACATCCAGGCTCAGAGATGGGGCAGAATTGTTTCCTGCATAGACCTGGAGAGATGCATTAACAGCCTTCTTACACTAATGATAAAAACTTGCCTTTTCAGTGTGATCCCTGTGCTTTTTTTTTTCAGCACAAATATTAAATTCTGTGCCAAACATGCAATGAACACAAACAGATTTCATCTTCAACTGAAATAAGACGGTTTCTGTCTTAGCTTTTGATGCTTCTGAAGTAAGACAGAGCTGGTTCTCAGAAGTTGAAAACTGCAGCCAGATTTTCAGTGCCTTCCTGTGAATGGCAGGAGATTCTTCTTGGGCAGAAATCCAGAACCTTTTTTCCCCCCTGAGCAGATCAGGGAATCTCCTCTGGAGGGCAGGATCAGACTCAGCTCAGGAGGATCTTCTCTCCCTCCAAAGGGAAGGTCTCAGGCTGAGCAGAAGCTGCAGGGAAAGGATCCCCTCACTTGGTCACTCATGGGAGTGGAAAGGGAGGGAAAGGACTGGTCAGTTTAGTTCAACTGTACTTACAAGTGGTTTTCCCTCAGATTTGAGAGTTTCTGGCATCCTTCCTCATTCTGAAGCCCAACCAGAAGTAGAAACATTTCAACATTTCCTTTTGGTTTTTTTTTTTCAAACATTCAGTTTTCTTTTAAATCCCAGAATCTGGTCACTTAAAGTCAAAATCTTTTCTCCAGGACCTTGCAAGACTATAAACTTCAAACTTCATTTCAAAGGTCAACAACCCTTTGGGGGAGCAGATCAGATTGGGCCACTTGCTGCTGTTGCTAAGGAAAATATTCCTTTGTGGCCCTTCAAGGCTT